GGGGGGGGGGGGGGGGGGCGTGGAGAAGGGGAGCTGCCGTCCCCGGGTTGATGTCTGAGGGGAAGTCTTCCTGCTGAAACAGGTGTGGCCACCCAGAGTTATTTTTGAACCAGGTTTTTGGATATTAGGTGGTATTTACGTGAACTCAAATCCTTGAGGAAGTGTAAATGAAAAGCTGCCTTTGTTTCCTGTCAATCGGTGAGAGAGAAATGTGACCAAACGCAAAGGGATCCCGTGTCCAATCTTCTTAGAGGCTTTCATTTGGAGGGAAGCTGGGACTGTTTTCATGATGAAGTCTGGGTACATGGAGGCAGATCGGAATTTCTTCCTTTATCACTTGGTTCTCTTTAGAGGCGTTTGCCAAACACAGAGGCTTGTTTGTATCTTGACGGGGCTGTGGTCCACCTGGGGCTCAGGCTCTGCTCAGAGCCTGCTCCTAGGGTCTCCCAAGGCTTCCTGGCTGCTGGAATTGCTCCTGGGGTTTCCTGAAAGTGCCCCCTTTCTCTGGAAGCTTCTGGGTCTGTGGTGGTTCTCTCTACTTTCCTGCCTTCTGAGTCCCACTGGGACTCAGGTGTATCTCTGGGCTGTGACCTCCGCGATCCCTAAAGACTCTTCCAGTGGGTAAGGGATCGAGTAAAAAGACAGACAGAGGGAGTTTCCAGGTTTCAGGGTGGACAAGACCCTAGGGTAGCATCTTTTCTTATTGAGCAGTCTCATTGTGTCTTCAGAGGGCACGTCGTCCACCCTCCTCTTTCTCACTCCCTTCACCTCCTCACTTTCCCTTCCTGCTTCAAGAGGTAGCCTGGCCCTCCTTTATCTTGTCAGTTGATGAGGGGGCTGCTTCTCAGGAAAGCCCATTCTAGCATCACCGATACTGTGATTAGAGCCGAGTTCATTTACTTCAGAGGAAAGTCCCCAAAGTTGGACTCAATTGTCCTTCTGTTTAGTTTGGACCTTGACCTTGAGGTTTGGAAAGGCCTAGCCCTGACTTGAACTCGTGGAGGGCCTAGCTCATGGTGGTGGCCACTCTTGCTTCACCTGCTGGTGGGCCTTTACCAGTCAGGAACGGAGCCCAGGTATGAGGGCCCCAGGGAAAGTCTGTCAGATTCTAGCCACATCTCTCTTTTCTTTCTTAAAACAACATAAATTTATTATCTTAAGTTCTGTCGTCAGAAGTCTGACAGTGGTCTCACTGGGCTAACATTAAAGTGCCCACAAGACTCTTCCTTCCTGGAGGTTGTAGAGGAAAACCTGTTTTCTCAGCTTCTCCAGCTTCTAGAGGCCGCCTGCCTTCCTTGGCTCGCGGCCCCTTCCATCTTCAAAGCCAGCAATGGCCAGTGGAGTCTTTCTCACATCACACCGCGCTGACTCTGCTTCGGTCACCACATGTCCTGCCCTGACCCCAGGCACACTTCTTAGAACTGGGGAATCCAACTGGATTTCCAAGAGGTGCCCCAGTCTGGCACTTGCCTCCAGCCCGCCTTGTGAAAACAACCACAGACCAAGACAACAGTGCCTCCCAGTCAGGGCTGAGTCATGGAATCTATGAGGTAGTTAGAGCCGTGGAATCTGCGAGGTGGTTAGGGTGTCTGCGCCAGAGTCCGCGTGGGGGTCAGATTCGGCTCGGCCCTGGCATGCGCATGGCCGGGGGCAAACTCTTTCACCCCCAGAGCCGCTCCGGGGCTCCAGCCAAGCCTCCCTTACCCTCAGATAGCCCCGTGCCCCTCACAGCCTGTCCTCCCATCCACACCCTGTACACGCAGGATTAGGATTCCCTGCTCTGCAAGCAGTGCCTGTAATGGTTCGGAGATCAGCCCTGGAACAGAAACCCCCGCTTCACCACTTACTCTGAGACTTTGGGCAAGTGATTAGACCTCTCTGTGCCCCAGTTTCCTCATCTGTAAAATGGGGATGATGATTACCAATTGCACGGAACTATTTTTAAAATTAAGTGAATTAATGATGAGCAAGATGCTTAGAACCGTGCCTGGCCCATTAAAATTGCTCTGTAAGGGGCTCCTGGGTGGCTCCATTGGTGAAGCATCCGACCCTTGGTTTCAGCTCAGACCATCGTCTTATGGTTTGTGGGTTTGGGCCCCGTGTTGGGCTCCTCGCAGAGCCTGCTTGGGATTCTCTGTCGCCCTGTCTCTCTGCCCTTCCCCTGGTCGTTCTCTCTCTCTCTCTCTTTCCATCTCTCTCTCTTTCAAAAATAAATAAACATTAAAAAAAATGAAATTGCTGGGGTGCCTGGGTGGCGCAGTCGGTTAAGCGTCCGACTTCAGCCAGGTCACGATCTCACGGTCCGTGAGTTCGAGCCCCGCGTCAGGCTCTGGGCTGATGGCTCAGAGCCTGGAGCCTGTTTCCGATTCTGTGTCTCCCTCTCTCTCTGCCCCTCGCCCGTTCATGCTCTGTCTCTCTCTGTCCCAAAAATAAATAAACGTTGAAAAAAAAATTAAAAAAAAAATGAAATTGCTCAATAAGTTTTATCTAATATTATATTATTACGACTATTACAGTGATCTTGCCAGGTTGCTCCCCTTCTAAAGCTCCCGGGCACACAATAACACTAGCCACCGATATCCTGATAATTCAGCTGTAGTGAGGAGGCTGCATAGATCCCAACACGAGTGCAGAGATGAAATGATTAGAAAAAGGTCAGCCTGTGAGATGCCTCTCTCACTATCCCTGTGTTAACCCCACCCCACCCCTAGTCCTATTAAGGGCCCAGCAGCCATATCACACACGTGGAATTTAGAACTTTGGTGTCCACACAGCACTATCTAGGGAATGTCCCAGGAGATCCTAGTGTCAACACACAGACTCTCGGAAGCCAGAGAGAATCAGGCGGGCTTTAGTGGGAGCTATTGAGTTTTCCCATTATCTCTACTTCTCTGGTTTCTGACTGGGCCAAACCTGCACTCTTATCCCTCCTCTCTTTTCCCCCCACCTGCTCCCTGGGAGCTTCATCTCTGGTCTCAGGTGTGGAGTCTGGGAGGGAATAGACAGCCGTGTCTGCCTGGAGGGTGTGGGGCAGGGCACTGCTGGGAACTGCAGTTTCTGGGACATGCGGGGCGCGCAGCACAGAGAACTCACCATTTAGACCCCTGTTGAGAGGTGGAGAATCTTGAATGCACCAGCCACTCTCTGCCTGATAGGGCGGCACCCCAAGGGCTCTGTGTCAAGTTCCTGTGACATTCTCAGGAGCCTTTATGTCACATTCAAAACCCAGATCCTCACATAGAGACAGGGCTGTGGCTGTAGGTGTTGGAATTTGGGGTGAATGTATTCTGATCTCGGGACCCCCCTGAGAAGCCCAGTCTTTCTTGAATAAATCTTTTGGCCTTCTTGCAATTTTTGCCCCTGAAGTCAAGTGCAAAGGGAAAAGTAATCACAATTTGTTCAATGTTCCAGTTGTAGGATTCTGGTTACTCAGGATTTTGACCTTTCTTCTCTTTCCCCTTTGGCTGTAAGAGGAACAGAAGGTCCCTCGTGCCCCCTTAAATGGGTGAAAGCCTTCCTTGCTCATGACCGACAGAGTCGGGCGTCCACAGGGACCCCTGCTTCTCGGAGGTGACAGTGTGAACCTGGGGTAGGCTGTGAAATCCTTTTCTTTTTTTTTTTTAATTAAAAAAAAATTTTTTTTAACATTTTTATTTATTTTTGAGACAGAGAGAGACAGAGCATGAATGGGGGAGGGGCAGAGAGAGAAGGAGACACAGAATTGGAAGCAGGCTCCAGGCTCTGAGCCATCAGCCCAGAGCCCGACGCGGGGCTCGAACTCACGGACCGTGAGATCGTGACCTGAGCTGAAGTCGGACGCTCAACCAACTGAGCCACCCAGGCGCCCCTGTGAAATCCTTTTCAATGAGCATTAAGGGTCATGAGGAAGGTTGGTTGAGAAAATATGAATGGCTTCTCACACCCTCCCCACTGCTACAGAAACAGCCCAGAACACAGACCCAGGAACTAGAGGAAGAGAAAGGCCTTTGCAGCATCTTCCTACAGGGGAAGGGACCCTGTCTGTTGAGCACTTACTATGTGTTGACCACACTGACTCCTCATAATAGTCCTATAAGGTTGGCACTAACATCACTCCCATTGTACAGATAGGAAATCTAAGGCCCAGAGAGCTTAAACACTGCCAGAGAGTGGCTGAGCTGGGGATTTGTACTAGGTCACATGGGCCCTACTGTCTTTCTGCCCTGCCCTCGACGGTAAAACAAATGGAACCATGGTCACACCGCTGATGGTTTGGGGTTAGGGCTAAGGAAATCTTGTGTTAGAGGACCCCAGAAGGTGGGCCCCAGCACCCCAGTCCAGAAGGTGCTGGGGCCACTGGGGACAGCAGGTGACCTCACCTGCTCTGCTGGTTCCAGATTAGAAGTTCAAACACTTGACAGGATCTTGTTATGTAAGAGGTGCTGAGCTGAGTCAGATGGGCCAAATGCAGAGCCTGGCTCTCCTCCCTCGGAACTGCGGGGCAGGCTGACTCAGTTGTCCCACATGCCTTTGATCTCCAGCTCACGGCCTCCTGCACTTGTCTCCTCCAGGTGGGATCTATTATGGAGATAATCGGTTTGACTCTGTGAGTGAGTCAGGGACAGCCACGCTGAAAGCTCGGCCAAGAGTTCGGCCCCTGCTGACCTTCCTTCCACTTGTGAGTACGGTTCTGCACTGGGGTGTGGGGGTCTGCTCTGGACGGGCCACAGAGGAGGCAGCCCCACCTGCCCTAGCCCAAGCGGACATCAGCCTCACCCTCTGTCCATTCGCTTCCTTCCTGCTGCCAACCAGGGTGGCTTCTGGGAGGAGGCGTGGCTGAGACTCATAGCAGGAAGGCTGAGATTGGGGCGGTGGGTCTGCTCCTCCATGTTGAAACCCGAGGAGAGGTTACGGGGACTTTGTGTGCAGTGGCAATGCAGAGATGGGTGCCTCTAGCCAAGCAGGATTCGTATTCATGCTCTGCATCGACCACTGCCTGCTCCGTGCCAGGCCTTGCATTGGACGGAGGCACACAGAGGTGACTGAGCCAGCTCTCAGGGAAGGACAAGAATGAGTAAACATTGTTGGAACAGAGGTCAGAGAACAGGCAGCCAATCCAGCCACAGGTGGTCAGGAGGACTTCCCGGAAGAGGTAACACCTGAGCTGTCTTAAAGGACAAATAGCAGTGACCCTTGGGAGAAGGGCATCGGGGACAGAATTGTTTGTGGGTCTGCAATCACAGGAAACCAAAAACTCCCTTCTGGAGCCGTGGTTGGGCTCTTTTTTTTTTTTTTTCCTTTTTTCCCAAGAGAGATAGATTCAAAATAACTGCTGACTGGTTCTATTTACTGTGATACAAGTTCCTGGGTTTTCTGGGAAAGTATAAGGCCACAGCACTGTCGAATATCTCTCTTGCATAAACCCCATATGTCATTTAAATTTTTCTAGTAACTGGGGCACCTGAGTGGCTCAGTAGGTTAAGCGTCCGACTTTGGCTTGGGTCATGATCTCATGGTTCATGAGTTTTGGGCCCGCATTGGCTCTGATAATAAAATTTCATTTTCTTAGGATTCTGCTCCCTCTCCTCTGCCCCTCCACTGCTTGCACTCTGTCTCTCGCATGGTCTCAAAAATAAATAAATGTGAAAAAAAATTTTAATAAGGTTTAAAAGAATAAATGAATAAATAAAATAAAAAATCAAATGTTCTAGTAACTGCACTGAAAGTAAAAAGAAATAGGCAAGATTAGGGGGAGGCATACAGACATTGTAAGTCAGTTAAACATCAGCAACTTAGGCTCAGGTCGATAACACGGTTTGTGGTTCAACCCGTGTCGAGGGCTTTATTGTACCGGGCCTGGGAAGCCTGCCCAGGATTCCTGTAATACCCTCTCTCTCTGCTCCTCCCAGCTCATGCTCAAGTTTCTCTCTCTCTCTCTCAAAAATGAATAAACATTGAAAAAACTTTTAAAAAGAAATAGGCAAGATTAATTTTTTTAATATGTAATACCGGCTTAACTTAATCAGCCAGATGCTCTTATAGCATTTAATTGGTGTTAGCAATACTACTGAGATGTTTTTGTTATTTCATTTTTCCTTACTAAGTCTTTGTGTGTACTACACGCACTTTTAGAACATGTAGCCAGGGAGCCTGGGTGGCTTTCGGTCAGTTAACCATCACTCTTAGATTTCTAGCTCAGGGGCAGCAGTGATCTCACAGTTAGGTGAGTTGGGAGCTGGCGTCCGAAAACTCTTCACTGTCAGTGTGGAACCTGCTTGCGTTTACCCCCAAACTTCCCGTCTCTCTCTGCCCCTCTCTGTCCAGAGTAACTCTCTCAAAATAGAATAAATAAAATTAAAAAAAAAAAAAAGAATATGCTTCCATCCCACTTCCTGACTAGTGAGCATTTCACTGGGGCCAAGTGGCTACTATGTATTTGTAGTATAATTGGCCCAGGTCTAAACATAGCAACCCCATGAATTGCAGGTTGGCCTTCCTGTCCATTCCAGGGACTGTGGTTCGTTGAGAGCAACTTATTATCACTACAGACAGAGAGGGATTCATTCACCACGGGGGCTAACAAGGAGCATCTGATCGCCGCTTGCTCCACAGCCTTCACCTCCTCTCCATCTTGTGAATTTTTTGGTTTGTCCAACCTTACAGGCTTTGGAGCCCTGAGGTGGGAGGGGCAGGAGTCTTATCTCAAGCAACCCCCAAAGGCGCACCAACATGTGGAGGGCTGAGCTACAGGCCTCTGGGGTAACTTTGACCTGCAATTTGGCGCAAACTTGCTTGTGGACTGTTATAGACAAGCCTCAAAATTTAAACACCACCGACAAAAAGGTATAAAGCAAATGAGTCAGCCCCTATGTTTCTAGAGATGCATAAAACTGTCTGCAAGGGTGTTGCCCCCATAAATGCAGATGAAATAATTTTGAGATCTTCTGTTGCTGATGGTGAATTAGATCCTCTCCCCTCACCCACCCCCAAGACACAGACCCACCCATACCCGTTCTGGTTGTTAAAATACTGAAGGAAATGACTGTTGCCCATGAGGGGCTCCAGCCACTGAAAGGATTGCAAATGAATGCTGCACAATGGTTCCAATTTGATTCCAGCCGAAAGCCTCTACCCGACACACCCACTTCCTTCAGTAATAAGGGCGTGTCCCAGCCGTTCTGCCCGCCTCTCTTCTGGTTTGGGCCCTCCAAGGCGTGCCCGGGGGACTGCAGCAGACCTCCGGCTGAGCCGAAGGCTGGGGGGCATGGGAGGAGTTGATGGAGGGCAGGGGGAGGGGGAAACACTGGAGTGGGCTTGGCTGGCTGGTCAGGCCTGGAGATCCAAGACCGTTTTCTGGGGCCCAGTCCTCCAGGCCAGGCTAAGCCAATCAGGAGACGGGGTGGGGGACTTCTCCCCAGCAAATCCACAGCCCCTAGCTGGTGAGGGCAAGAGAACAAAAGTCCTGATGAGTTGACGACAGAAACTCATCGGGTCCACACCAGCCTCATTTCACAGAGGCAGGAATTCAACCCTAAAAGGGGAAGTTCACTCCTTGCCTTCAGTGCCACCTGAACAGGCAAAAGCAGGGGAAGCAGCTTGCGAGGTCCCATCCAGGGGCATGACCGTGTGATCGGGGCTAATACCCCCCGCCCCCCCCCAGCACTTACGGTGTCTCAGGCACCATTTCAAGTGTCTCCAGTGTGTTAACAGAGTCGACAGAGCCACCCCGTCAGGAAGGCGCTGTTGTTAATTCCCATTTTACAGATGGGGAAATTGGAGCACAGAATGGGAAAGTAACTTGCTTAGGGTCACACAGCTCATGAGCGGCAATGCTGGGATCTGGAGCCCCACAGCCAGGCTCCAGGATCCAAGTTCTATTCAGGCCCTCCTATTCTGCCCTCCACCCACAATCTAGAAGCTTTTTTCTTCCCTCCCAGCGCCAGCCTGCAGGCCACCTGCATCTCCCCCGCCTGCCTCTCTGAACCCCTGTCCAGCATCTGGGGCCTGCTGGACACCAGGGTCTCTTGCCTCTTTGGGGTCATAGACTCTTTTGAGACCTTGATGAGTCTGTGGACCACATAAGTGCAATTTTGCTTAAAATTTCAGCAGAGGCCCCTCTGGGGCCCCCAGAAGCCCCCTCAGTGATGAACCTCTAGATTAGGAACCCTTAGCCTGATGGCTCATATCCTGGGGACATCCCTGTGCTCCTGATCCAGGTCACAAGATAACAGAGCAGCCTCAACCTCGTCTTTCATCATCTGCTGCTGGATGCAGGGGCACCCAACTCCTCTCCCTTAGGCTCTGGACACGGTCGTTTGCTTTCTTCCAGCTGGGACAGGAGGCTGTGAGAATGAGAACCAGGAGGACGAGGTCCTCGTGGGTGTGGGTTCACACACAGATACACACGTGTGCACAGCCCGCCCCCACAGCCCCACCAAGTCAAGGTGGGTGGGGAGCTGGGCCGGTGCCCAAGCCCTGCCTGACACTGTCCCGGCCAGGCGGGCCTCACCACTCCCTAGCTTCCCTTCCCATACTCAGAGGGCACCTCCTAGGCCAGGCTACCCCGGGGCAGGGGAGGCACAAGTCAGCAGTGCCCAAGAAACCAGGTAACAGGCCCAGCAAGGCCCATGCTCTTCCTGGCGTTTCCTCACTCTGCTTGAGACGGAGGGGCAGAGAACTAAGGAATACTTTTGCAGGCAGCTGGTAGCCAAAAGCCAGTTATGAAAAGCACCTCTGGATCCCTTGGTGACTGGGATGGGACCCAACTGATCCTCGAGTAGCTGGCACTGGTCTGGCTCTGCCGCTGGGCTGCAGGAAAGGCCGAGACCTTCCTCTCCCTGGGCCTCTGGCTCCTCCCCCATCAATGGGCGTTATACCACGTGGTCCTTCGGGGTCTCCCCAGCTGTGACTTTCTGTGTTAAAATAACTCCTAACGGTGATGCAGGAGGCCCCCCACAAGAAGCCAGGCCCCTCACAACACATGGACCACTGCTTGAGCTCTGTTTCCACTGCTGAAAAGTGGGTGTTCCAGCCACCCTGCTTCCTGCTCTGAGAGCCCTGAGATGTGGGTCAGTATCACCAAGCTTCAGGGGTGCCTGGGTGGCTCAGTCGGTTAAGTGTCTGACTTCTGCTCAGGTCATGATCTCGTGGCTCGTTTGTTCTAGCCCCTCATTGGGCTCTGTGCTGACAGTGTGGAGCCTGCCTGGGATTCTCTCTCTACCTCTCTCTCTCTCCCTCTCTCTCTCCTCCTCCCCCATCTGCACTCGCTCACTCCCTCTCTCTCAAAATAAATAAACTTAAAAAAAAAAATCATCAAACCCCAGAAGTGGGGAGGACCCTGGCACTCATCAGAATGAGAAAACCTGGGGCGCCTGGGTGGCTCAGTCAGTTGAGTGCCCTACTTCAGCTCAGGTCACGATCTCGTGTTTGTGGGTTCGAGCCATGCATCAAGGTCTGTGCTGAAAGCTCAGAGCCTAGAGCCTGCTTTGGATTCTGTGTCTCCCTCTCTCTCTGCACCTCCTGTGATCATGCTCTGTCTTTAAAAAAATAATAACAAATAAAATAAAATAAAATAAAATAAAATAAAATAAAATAAAATAAAATAAATGAGAAAACTGAGGCCTGGGATAGGGAGGGTCCTGCCCAGGTTACACAGCTCAGTAGAGGCAGAAACGAAACCTGAGCCTTGGTTTCCTCCCAATCCAGTCCTGTCCATGCCACCATGGGCCTGGGCTGAGTGGAGGAAGGATCCTTTGTCTCCACTTACTGCTACCCCTGAGGGGAGGCTGGACCCAAGACTCAAGCCAGAACTTGCCCAAGCTTTCCAGAGCTGAGCTGATCGAACAGCCGGTAGTGAGAAGCTTGTACTTCTCTCTGGGGCTCCCTCTTGCCCTCCCCTAGTCTGAATCAAACCATCTCCAGGGTGACGCATATGAGGAATTAAAAATTAAATGTCAGTGTGGCAAATATAGGGAAACTGGCTGGACAGGTCCCCAGGGGTGCCCCAGGCGGTGAGAGCTTCCTGGGTCACTCCACCCTGTGAGTCAGGCAGGCCTGGCTGTGCCTGGGGAGGTGTCAGGCTGGGCTCAGGGGAAGAAGCTCTACCCGCTCTGGGTCCCTCCCCCCTCTTCCCCTGCACCTGGAAACTCAGAGTCAGCTGGATTTCTGCTTTCCACTCTGCCCCCCTTTCAGCTCATCTCTGAACTCAAGGCCCAGGCTCCCTTTGGGGTTGAGGCTTGAGCTCCTTGGGGTGAGCCTGGCAGGGCAGTCATGATTGGTTTTTGGCTGATTCATGTGGCTGATGTTAGCTGGAAGGATTTCGAGGTGAGGGAGGACTATTTGGGTGGGGGTACAGGATGGAGCCTCCCATGCCCATGGGAGCCCACTGCCTCCTCTACCCACCTGGCTCCTTCCCTCACAGTGAGGGCCTTGCCCTGAACCTTTCCACCCCCCTCCTCCCCACAGACAGCACCCCCTTGGCCACTTTATGGGCTCAGGGATATGCGTAGCCCCCACTTGGGCCGCACTCAGGAGAACTAACTGGGGAGGAAGCCTAGAAGTGGACTCGGGGCCATTTAAGCGGGCATGGGGGCGTGTCTAGGGGCCTTTGTACCTGGGGCAAGGTCAAGATGGGGGTGGTATGGGCTCCAAGGGCATGTCCGCCTGATCCCATGGACTCTTCTCCCTGTAGAGAACCAAAGCAGGGCCCCCACAGCACAGAGTCTAGGGGCAGGGCCCTGCGTCCAAGAGCAGTTTGGGATAGCCGGTAGGCTCAGAGAAAGATGACGTCGTTAGTAGAGATTCTTCTCTGACCCCCAGGAGGGAGTTTGAGCTGTGGCAGAAGGTAGAGGCCACAGTGGAGGAAGAAATCAAGCTCTTTTAGAAAATGCTCACTGGCGCCCCACTTCAAAGAAGCGTCTCTGTGGAGAACACACAGTTGACCTTCTTGACCGTCTACGTCCTGCCCCTGGCCAGCACCCCCTACCCTCACACTGCTGGTCAAAGCCAAGCAGCAACTAGCTGGGCTTCACCAGCTGGGGGCTTTGGGTACCCGGAGGGGGTTTCCCTATGGCTCTCACTCTGGGGTTCCATCCCCCTGCTCCCGCAGACAACAGTGGTTCCCTCAATCATGGCCGACTCTAAATCTGACTCAGGGTCATTTCCCTTACCCCCTGCAGATCCACACCCCCCTTGTTAGGTGCCCCAACCAAGCTCCAGGAGCACTGTGGTGAGGAGGCTTGCATTATTATCACAATGTGCAGCTAAGACTCAGAGCTGGCCCACGCCCAAGGTCAACCATGTGTTGCCCATTGGCCAAGCCCTTGGTGACCCACCCTTGGGGTTTGGCTGGATTTTGAGGAATCCCAGGCATGAGGATGTATGTGTCCCAGGCATGAGGAGGGCAAGAGGGTAGGGCTGTAGCCGTCAGTGGGGCGAGCCCTGTCCCCCTGAGACCTTGGTGGGGCTCTGACTCCCTAAAACTTTAAAGGGAAGATAATCTACCCTCAAATAGTGAGTGTTTTTCGCCCTTCCTCCTTCTCAACTCTGAAACATTTGCAGTCAAGGGTAGTAGGGGACCCTCACCACAGGGAAGCACCTGTCTCAGGATTCAACTAGAGACACCCTGGAGGCTGTGCCTGGAGCAGTCTCCAAGTTCTTGGGCCACCGCTAACCCCTGAGCTATGTTAGGACCTGAGAGAGGAGAGGCTCGGGGAAATTACCTTTCTTGACTACTAACTCTGCAGGATCTCTTTAGGTATGTGGTGGCCTCTGGTGTCCTAACAAACCCAAGGGAAGTGGGACATCTCCATCTTACAAATAAGAAAGCCGATCCTTAGAAGGCGAGAGAGGGGCACACTTATTGAGCACTGACCGTGTGTCAGATACCACCTTTGATTCCTTTGAGATGATGGAGTTAAGATTGCCAGTCTGGTCTGCCTGACTCCAAAGTTTATGTTATGTTTTTTGTTTTGTTTTGTGTTGTTTAAGTAGGCTCCACTCCCAACATGGGGCTTGAACTCATGACCCTGAGATCAAGAGGTGGGGGCGCCTGGGTGGCTCAGTCGGTTGGGTGTCTGACTTTGGCTCAGGTCATGATCTCGCGGTTCATGAGTTCTAGCCTGGGTTGGGCTCTGTGCTGACGGCTCAGAGCCTGGAGCCTGCTTTGGAGACTGTGTCTCCCTCCCTGTCTCTCTGCCCCTCCCCTGCTCATGCCCTGTCTCTGTCTCTCTCAAAAATAAATAAGCATTAAAAAAAAAAAAAAAAGAGTTTCATGCTCCACCGACTGAGCTAGTCAGGTGCCCCGAGTTCATATTTTTAAAAAAATAACTATTGTATTGGATTTTTTTTTTAATTATGAAGGAAACAGAAGTTCATTGTTAAGAACTGAGAAATAGAGACACGTATAAGGAAGAAAAGAAAAAGAAATATTCTTGGAGTGGTGCCCCCGCCCCCAGCCTCCCCGGCAACTAATCATTGCTGGATAACTTTCCAATATACTAGGCTGTGATGCTTTGGAAAGGGCTGCTTGACTGAGCCACGGAGCTGACTTGCACCCTGTGTGAACAGGGCGAGTGAGATGATCAATGATCTTAGCTTCTAGGCGTTGTCCCGGTGTTGGGACAGGGAGGGGCTGAGGCCCAGTTTCAGGTGGAATGCCCCACCTGGCAGAGCCAGGGCTGGACTTTGCCCCAGGCATTAAAGCGGGGACCACGCTCAGGCTGCTGAGCAGGGAGGGGCGTGGCCATGACCGGGGGGCGCGGTCACGCCGGGAGGGGCGTGGCCATGGCCGGCTGCCCGCGGGCAGAGGGGGTGCTCAGAGGGTCTTTCGCCTGCCTCTGGTTGGTTTCTCCGCACACGAGTCGGTGTGCCCCTCTCTTGATGTGGGCTGCCATCCTCGAAGGGCCACACGCCCCTCTCCGTGTATGTTTGAGACGCATGCCAGCCTCCAACGTCAACAGCACCCTGGGGCATGGGCCTGTCATTTTCTCAGGACCAGCTCGCCGAGTGGCGCGCGGCCAGCTCAACTGACTGCCGCAGTCAAAGTCCCTTGTCTGAGGTCAGCAGTGACCTCAAGCCCAGCCCTGCCCGCTTGGCCTCACCCTGTGGCTCCAGAACTCCTCCTTTATTCCAGACGGAGAACCATCTGGAGACAACGGCGCCTCCTGTCATGGAAATGCGGCCCCGAGTGCCTAGGCCACTGCCCACCAGGCGGAGGGTGAGCCGAGTCACAGGCAGGACACCTTCTGGGCCTGCATTCGGAGCACCATGGTTGAAGCGACCCTTAGCAAGCGGTTACAAACGAGGCAGGGAGGCCCAGAGACAAGTGACTTTGCTCAGAGTTGAATGGGGGTAGGGTTGGCTCCAGAACACAGGCTTTCCACCTCTCCTGCACTCTTCCGACCTTTCAGTCATGTAACAAACTTGTTGCGTTGTCCATTCTGTGCTCAGCATGAACAAAGAATTAGCTGTTACTTGACCCAACAGGAGACTGGGCTTGGACAGCAGAGACTACACTCACCTATGACAGGTTCCGTCTGTGCTGGAGAAGCGTGAGGGCAATACTATGGTGGCAAAGAGGGTAGGCCCTGACATTCCAGTTTTGGCCCTGCCGCTGACTAGCTGTGTGACCTTGGGCAATGCTCTTACCCTCTCTGTGCCTCAGATTCCTCTTCTGTAAAATACAAACAACCTGCCTCGTAGGGTCACCATGGGGGACTTACTGGGCTGCTACATGTGAGGTACTCATAATCATGCCTAGCACATAGTAGGCACCTAAATAATTGTCAGCTGTGATAATAGTGCACACAGGAAGACACGGGGTAGAGAAATTAACTCCAAGGAAGGCTTCATGGACAAGGGGCATTTAATCTGGGGTTTAAAGGGTAACTAGGAGTTTTCCAGGCCAAGAAGAGCATCCTAGGCAACGTCAGGGCAAGAGCAAGGCTCTTGCTCTCAGGAGACCCAAGAAGACATGGGAATGAATCCCAAGCAGCTGCAGTGGTTCTCAACAGGTGGGGGAGGAAGGTGTGACTAAATCATCTAGGGGCTTTTTCAAGCTATTCACCGTCCCCCAGAACCTCCAAAGGGTGGTGTCTCTGGCTTACCGAGGATCCCTGCTGCGAGGAGCCCACTTGCTCATGAGTGAGTCGGGTCCCCATGTGCACTGGAATGGGAAAAGGATGAGAACCACTAGCTGGAGCCCAGGGATTGTGGGGTAGATGGGGAGAAGATGGCAGGAGCTGCAAAGGGGACAGCTTACGAAAGGTCTCAACTGCCATGCGAAGGTGCTTGAATTTCATCCTCTGGACCAATGGAAGGCTTCTGAGCAGGGAAGCGGCTTGCTTTGAGATCCATTTTGGAAAGAACATCCTGGCATCAGGTTTGAAGAATGGAGTGAGGCAGAGGCCAGGGAAGTATCTGGAGATGATGACACTAGTCTGTCTATCTGTCTGGGTAAGAGACAAGACAGTGAGGACTGAAGAAGGGATGAGCTTGAGGGGTGGCAAGAGGGAGGGCCCCAGGAAGTGCCTGGCAGATTTGGGTGACAAGCGGGGTGTGTGGGTGATGACTGGGTTGCCTGGAAAGACAGTGTTATAACTGGCTGTGTGTCCCTGGGGAAGTCACTTAACCTCTCTGTGCCTCTTTCCTTTTCTGTAAAACGGAGGGAGCAATAACAGCACCTATGTCATCAGGTTGTGATGGAAAGTAAATGAGTCAAGAGACAGAAAACACAGAACGGGGGCATCTGGGTGGCTCAGTTCATTGAGCATCCAACTTCACCTCAGGTCATGATCTCACAGTTCCTGAGTTCGAACCTCACATCGCTCTCGCTGCTGTCAGCGCAGAGCCCTCTTCCAGCCCTCTGTTCTCCTCGCTCTCTCTGTCTCTCCCCCATTCACAATCTCTCTGTCTCTCTCTCTCAAAAATAAATAAACACTTAAAAAATACTAAAAAAAGAAAACACAGAAAGAGCACCTGGTGCAGAGTAAGTGCTAGGAAGTCAGCGGCTGCTGTTATTATTGCTGAGACTGGAAGGACTGGGGATGGTGGGAGAAGGTGTGAAGGAAGCTGGCGTGATATCGTTGGATAGGGGCATGCTCTAGCTCTCTGCACCTTCTCTTTTGAAGTAGTCCTTATCACAACTTTTTTTTTTAATTTTTCCATTGTTAGCAGAACAGATGATACAAGCATGAACAGGGGAGAGCGGAGAGAGGGAGACACAGAATCCAAAGCAGGCTCCAGACTCCCAGCTGTCAGCACAGAGCTGGATGCAGGGCTCGAACTCATGAACCCTGAGATCATGACCTGAGCCGAAGTCGGTCGCTTAACTGAGCCACCCAGGCGCCCTTTAACTTTTTTAATTGTGAGCTACATCTAACATAAAAGTTACCATTGCATTGGCAATTGGTTACCATTGCATCACTGGCATTAAGTAACTTTTTCTTTCAACCAATCCTAGTGTGTGGAAAAGTTGCGGGAAGAGTAGGAAGAACTCTCTAGAGCCTCCGCCCAGATTCCCGCATTTTGCCAATTGCTCCCTCCATCCTTGATGTAGACACATTGTTTCTTCCTGAACCATCCAAGAGTAAGCTGAGACATTGTGTCCCTCCGCTCCTAAATACTTTAGCCTGTGTAGCCTAAGAGCAGACATTTTCTGCACAACTACCAAATTCAGGAATTTAATATTGATATGATACTATTGCCTAATGCATGTTTATATTGTTATTGCCAATCCTCTCGATAATGTTCTTCAGGGCACACACTCCCCATCCCCACCCCAGGATCCAATCAGGATCACACACTGCACAGAGGTGTCACCCGCAAGCCCTCTTCTTAAGGAGGCTTTTCCTCGGTTCTCACATCGGGGAATTCAGCGCCCACGGAGGTGGATGCTGTCTACACCTGTGCATTTATTTGCACACTGAAACAGGGCACCATCCAAGCTGGGGCACTCAATGCCAGCTGCCTGGGTCTTCCTGGGGAGAAAAGGGAGCTCACCTCCTGGGTCTGTTTTTCTAGGATGAAAGTTAACATGGGTTTGTATTTGCCTCTCCTGGACACGCACGGCTGAGTGAGCCTCTGGGGCTATGTGGGCGTGAGTGGGAAGGGGCAGGGCCAGCTGGGGCTTGGAGCTGCTGGATGGAGATGAGGTTGAAGTCAGGCACGTGCCCTAGGGTGGTGAACAGTGAAGGGCCATGGCACCTGGAACGGTGCAGTGAGATGGTGGGCGTGTCCTGGGACCCCCATGTCGGTGGGAGCAGGGGGACCTGAAAAGCCAGACCTCTGCCCGCACGGCTGTTTCCAAGGCTGCTCATGAGACAGGCTTTCATCCTCTGGTCTTGGGAGTCTAATGCATTTCCAGAGTCCCTGAAGATCGAAGGGTAGGGTGGGCAGTACTATCTCTGGCCCATGAAGTCCGCCCATCCCCCTCTTCTACGCACAATCATACTTAAGCACCTGGCGTGACCCAGGAGGCGTTTCAAGGATTCCAGAAATATTTGATTGTTCACAATTTGTTCACGTTTGTGGGAGAGGAGGATTGGAAGACATAGCCCTTCAACTAACCCCGGCTTCCTGGGTTAGGAATATTATCTCATTTGATCCTCAGAATGCCCTGCAAAGGAGGAAATATCTCCATTTTATAAGCAAAGAACATGGGTGATCTATAGAAAAGGTAAGTCGGGAGGCCTAGGTTTGCACCCTGGGTCTGTTAAGGGACTGGAGATAACATAGGTAAAGCTCCTAGTGCTGGCACACCGTGGGTGCAAAAATGATGGTTGGATATTGCCGTCGCCACTGCTCGGCCAAGGTCACACCCCTGGCAAAATTCAGAGCACAAATGGACTCTCGGGCTTTCTATGCCGAGTCCCCATGTCTTTTTATTTTTCAATTATATTCAAAAGAGTAAACAGAAGTCTCAACCATGGCTTTTGAAGGTCTGGCCCCCACCTCATCAAAATCAGAGGGTACATCCTTGGTGAAGGTTAGTAGACAATCGGTGGGGTGGGTGTGTGTGTGTGTGTGTGTGTGTGTGTGTGTGTGTGTGTGTGTGTGTGTGTTGCATCTCAGAAGGTCTTAGGAGACACTCCTTGGATGGGCTGGCCCCCGCCCCTGCCCCCGGTTCGGATCACTGGGTTTGAGAGATGTGAAAACAGGTGTGTGGCCGTGTGAATCAAGTAGAGGCAGAAAATTACCAAGAGGCAGACAAGAGATGACGGCTCAAGGTTATTTCAGCTTCAGAATTCTTTGAGAATGAGATGAGTTGTTTGTGGCCCCCAGATGGCCAAAGGGTAATTCTGAGATTGCCCTTTGTAACCCAGGTTCTCATGGATATTTTCAAAACATCTTTCTTGAATCTCCTGTCTTAGATCTGAAGCTATGAGGTCATTAAGCCCAGAGAGTTAGCACCATTGGCTCATCAGTGAGTAACGACTTGGCTTACTAAGTGTCCAGCTTTGGGGGATTCACATTGGTCACATAGGTCCCTGGGCTCCAAGGTCAACCTCACCTCACCTCACGAGAGAGCAAACAAAAATCTTCCTTTGAGGGGCTTGGCTGTAGGTTGCTCCGAACAGCATCAGGTCAGTGAGGGCTCCTGGTGGTAACGTTTGCTGGGCTCACATTTAATGGCCTTTCACTACACGCCAGGAGCAGAGTGCTTTTTGTGTGTTGTGTCATTGATCCTCCCATCTGCCCTGGAATAGGTAAATTCTATTTTTATCACTACCTCATAGGGAAACTGAGGCACAGAGAGCTTAAGCAGTTGGCACAGTCCTACAGCTAGTTGGTGGCAGATCTGGAATTCAAATCCAGACAGTCTAGCTCCAAAGCCAGTTCCCTTAGCCCCTTTCACCTCTGCCATCCAATCGGAGGCGCTCAGCTAATCCTTGAAGAATGAGAGATTTTAGAGAAACAAAATACCGAGGGATGGGAGCACCACAGACCTGGGGTTGGTAGTGCTAGTTGTGTGACTATAGACAACTTAGGAAATACTTCTGAGCCTCCGTGTCCTCATCTGGTAAATGGGCATAGCGTCTTCTTCATAGAGTAGTGTGGTGGAGATAACGTGTTTCGAGCATGGAGCGAAGGGGTATTATTGTTAGAAATGGAGGGTGGGAGGAGGGGCACAGCCTGACCAAGCATTCGGGATGAACATGAACTCATGTGCGGTTTGGAAGGACGGTGGAGAGGGAGGTGTCCAAGCTAGAATGTGAGATGGGTGTAACAGGTGAGTGGTACGTAAAAGCTGGGGCTGGGAAGTGCAAGGCCAGGTTGTTGAGGGCCTTGGAAACTACCGTAAAATGCTACACAGCTCTCCAAGGCACAGGTGTGTGGACTTTGTCGATGTATGGAAATGTGTGTTTGGGGGAAAAAAAATAGAACATAAAATAGTATGTTCTAACCGACAGTTGTGCACACACATTGCGGTCTGTTAGGCTTAAGATCAGAAGGGCATCTGCAGCACTATAAATATTCCAGTTCACCACTTTTAATTAATTTAGTTTCCTGGAAATACCTAATGAAAACCAAGAGTGAACAGGAGGCCAGGCTGAGGAATTTGGCTTTTAGCTTGTGGATGTGCCTGGGCGCAAGGCAGATTCGTTTGTTTTGTTTTGTTTTGTTTTAATTGAGATAGAATTCATAGACAGTCGATTCTCATTATTTGCTGATTCTGTATTTGCGAATTCGCCGACTCACTAAAATGTATTTGTAGCCCCCAAAGCACTACTCAAGACACTTTGGACATGTGCACGGCTGTGAAAAATTGGAGTCACCTGATGCGCATGGTCCCGGCTGAGATCAAACGAGACATTTTGCCTTCTAGCTTCAGCTCTCATACTGTAAATAAGTGTCCTTTGTTCTTTAGTGCCATATTTTTCATACTTCTTTGTTTTTTGTTGGTGATTTCACTATTTAAAATGGCCCCCAAGCATAGCGCCCATGTGCTAACATTCCTAAGTGTAAGAAGGCTGTGATGTGCCTTACAGAGAAAATATGTATGTTAGATAAGCTTTGTTCAGGCTTGAGTTATACTGCTGTTGGCCCTGAGTTCAATACCAATGAGACAACCAAACATTAAATAAGGTGTCTTTAAACAGAAACACACATAAAATAAAGTTATGTATTGACCGGTTGATGAAAATGCTGTGATGGAAGTTTGCAGGAAACTAATCTGTTTCCCTTGGGACACTGATTCTGCATTTTCTTTCTTTCTTTCTTTCTTTCTTTCTTTCTTTCTTTCTTTCTTTCTTTCTTTCTTTCTAAATTAATTTATTTTTGAAAGAGAGAGAACACAGGTGGGGGGAGCGAGGGCAGAGAGAGAGGGAGACCCAGAATCCGAAGCAGGATCCAGGCTCTGAGATGTCAGCACAGAGCCCGACGCGGGGCTTGAACCCACAAGCTGTGAGATCCTGACCTGAGCTGAAGTCTGACGCTTAACTGACAGAGCCACCCAGGTGCCCCAGATTTGGCGTTTTCTAATTCAGTGTCTGAAGCAACTTTAGGAACCATAATTTGTGCAAATAACAAGACTCACCTGTACATAAGATTCACCCTTTTAGATTTTTTTTTTCAACGTTTTTTATTTATTTTTGGGACAGAGAGAGACACAGCATGAACAGGGGAGGGGCAGAGAGAGAGGGAGACCTAGAATCAGAAACAGGCTCCAGGCTCCGAGCCATCAGCCCAGAGCCTGATGCGGGGCTTGAACTCACAGACCGCGAGATCGTGACCTGGCTGAAGTCGGACGCTTAACCGACTGCGCCTCCCAGGTGCCCCAAGATTCACCCTTTTAAATGAGCCCTTTTATATTTTAGTATATTCACAAGGCTATGCAGCCATCACCATCACTGCTGATTTTCGAGCAGTAAAATGACCTCCGAGAGCAGCAAGTTAAGAATTATTTATTTTGTCTGTCTTTCCCCGTTCCCTGATCTCTCTGCCCTCTTTCAGAATGCCCAGGAGAACCATGGACTGGCTGTGCCCACTCCCTCTGTCCCAGGAGACTTTGCAGACAAAGAAGTGACGGGTAAGAGGACTGTGGGTTTGGGGCTTCTCCCATCTTTCTTTCCTCCTTTGGCCCAAGCATCTGGCCCACCCCAGCTGGTGATAAAGCCGGAGTCCCCAGGCCTCTTGGCTGCTGGCTGCAGCCAGTGGGGGTTGAGCAGAGCCAAGGCTGGCTAAGGCCAATTCCAGTGGGGGGAGGATGGTGAGGGCCAACACCAGAGCAGGGTCAAGGGAAGCAGGAAGTGGTGGAAAGAACCCGGAGTCAGACCCACCTGGCTTTCAATCCCAGCCTTCCTACAGATGAGCTTTGTTCCCTTTGGGCAAGTCATTTAACCCCTCGCACGTCTGTGTCTGCAAATGAGCCATGGCAAACCTAAATCCAGTTCTGGAGGAGGCAGTGACGTATTGGATGGGACTTTGGTCACTTCTTGTCACACTGAGGCTCAAAACCCACCAATGACTTCCCATGACACTCAAAGCAGAGGTTCTTGCCAGGACTTCCCGAATCTGGCCTCACCTGGCCTCATCGCCTGCTTTCTCTCCCGGTCTCATGCTGCTCCCGCCAACCCGGTATCCTTGTTGCCCTTCAGCACCTGCACATTTCCACCCCGGGGTCTCTGCACTGCGGTTCCCTCTGCCTCGGCTGCTGTTCCCCTGTACACGTGTACAGCTCCCTCCTGCCCGCACGCCCTCTGTGCTCAGATGCCAGCTTCTCAGTGAGGTCTCCTCTGACCACGCTATTCAAAGTGTCACCCCAGCACCCCTGGGCTGTCCCCACATATCACTCATCATCTGATGTGTGGCAACAATTTATGGATGTATTATGTTCATTGTTTGTCTCATTGTCCCATTAAAATGTAAGCTTCAGGGGCGCCTGGGTGGCTCAGCCAGTTAAGTGGCCGACTTCAGCTCAGATCATGATCTCACGGTTCGTGAGTTCGAGCCCCACAGCGTGGAGCCTGCTTGGTATTCTCTCTCTCCCTGTCTCTCTCTGCCCCTCCCCTGCTTACACACTCTCTCTCAAAATAAATAAACAAACTTTATATATTAAAAGAGAAATAGTAAGCTCCAGCAGGGCCAGTATTTTGACTATTTTTGTTTTGTTTGCACTGCTGTCTCGCAGCTCCTACCGCTTGGGTGCTTAATGAATGTCAGTTTTTCCTCCTCCCCACTCTCGTTTTGTCTTGAAGTCAGACAGCTGGGAGCAGCCCTTCAGAGCTTCACATTCCCCGGGCTTGTGCTACGAAGTGAGAGGAGGGAGGCAGAGGACAGGCCACCTAAGAGAGAAGTAAGCAGGCCTGTTGGTGGCCTGCAGACTCGGGGTGTTGGGGGTGGGGAAGGGCTGGGAACCGGGTCCAAGAAGGGAGGGGTGTGAGCCGCTGGGGCCAGAGGTTCTCAGCATCTGTCTAGTGCCCGCGGCTGTCAGGCCACCTTCTTTCCACATACCCCCATCCCACCCCGCAGGCCAGACTCTGTCCCAGGAGCTCTCTGTGAGGCGGAGAGCTGGCTTCTAGGTAGACTCGGGATCTTTGGAAAGCAGGGGTTCCATGTTTTCCATGGAAAGACCATATTCCCTCCTATGAGGGAAAGACCATGTTCCCTCCTATGAGTCTTTCACCCAAAACTTTCTACTGAGAACGTCTCCAGGCCCCTGACCCACGACTTCCCGTCTTCCTCCCACTTGTCCTGTCTTACAACCTAAACAGTTAGGTGCAGGTGGTTAGTAATCCGAGGAGTTGCCATTCATAAGGTGCCTACTATGGGCCTAGCACCATGGTAAGCCCTTTACGTCTTTTTACATGAATCCTCTGGTTAATCCTCCCAACAGCTTTACGTGGTAAGCGTTCACATTATGCCCATTTTACAGATGATGAGACTGAGGCTCGGCAAGGTTAGCTGGCGTGTCCAGGGTCACACATCTGGTTAAGCAGTAGGGCTGGGATTTGAACCCTGGCCTTTCTGGCTGTGTATCAGCCAAGGCCCCCGTGAGAAACGGATGGCATACTCAAAGAGGATAACCAAAGGGTTTAACGAAGGGATGATATGCAAGGAGGGGGGCAGCATTCGGGGACTGGAGTGGGTGGTGACACAAGCCCCAGAGGCCGAGGGAGCAGTGGGGAGCTACTCCTGTATCTTTGAGCTGTGGGACGGGGCTAACCTGCCAGGAAGGCAGCCTTTGGCGACGTGGCCCGTCAAGAAGGGAGGGTGGGGGGATCGATGCCCTGGCCTCTCTGTGCCCACCCTCTGATCTGCCAGCAGCTCCCATCGGCTGAACCCACCTGGAGCCAGAGGATAAGGGAGCCCCCGGGCCAGAGCAGGGCAGGGGAGAGTGAAACAAACGGAGAATACTCAGTGCAGGCTCCCGAGGAGGCCGAGCGCAGGATAGGCAGGGGGCCCCTCCCTGGAAAGGAGAGGCTCACTCCCAGGACAGCTCAGGACCTCATGGCCTCCCGGCCTCCCTCTTCTTTTGCTTTTCCCTTCTTTCAGGTACCAGCTCACTCGTCAACGGCAACCTGCGCCTGTACAGCTCTGTGGGTGACCTAAGGCCGGGGCACTATGGGCAGGACCCACTCATCCCTCCCCCTCCCCCAGGCCCGGCCCCGGGGCCACCCCCAGGCTTTTCACAGCTTCGGGAGGAATCCCCCCCACCTCCACCTTCCATGGCTCCCCCACCACCTCCCCTGCTGCTGGAACCCCCACCCCCACCC